GTACTTGTCTGGCATAAAGGTTACACTTTTCATCTAAAAGGATCGGCAAAAATATCTACAGTTCAATTGCCTAATAACTGTCGCTATAATACTCATCAAATCTCAGATCTGGAAATAAAGATGTATAATAAACACGATACTATCGTCTTTGCAAAAAAACATTAAATACGCATTTCAATAAGCATAACCACGCATATAATACGGCATAAAACACGCATATCATACGCCTCCACCGCATATCATAAGCATAAACAACACGCATATATAAGCATCACGCATATACAACGCATTACCATACGCATACCTAACGCATATCATACGACATCTTTCAACAAAAAATAAGTTGCAATTTTTACCTTTTAAGAACTTTTTCAACATTCTAGCACAAAATTTCTCTTCTCAGAAGTAAAACACATAATACCTTGTAATTTTCTATTTCATACTGCATAAACATAAGTTACAGGTTTATTTTTGAATGTTTTTTTACTAGTATTGGTTCATTTGATTTGTATAATGGAATAAAGTTGCATTTCTGCTGGGACTGGCTCATTTGTTGGGATTGGATCTTTTGGTGGGATGGCTATTTGGTGGGGTTGGATCTTTTGGTGTGGATTGACTCATTTGGTTCATTGGGCTGTGGGGTGGGATATCTGATCTCTGTCTCTTATTGAAAGATGAAGAGTAGCTAACAGATTTTCTGAGGAACTACTTTTGCTCTGATCAATGTAATTATTGAGCTTGACTCAATAACTCCAACTCTCTCAGTAAGATCTTCAAACTTTGTGCTCAGCCTGTCTTCAAATTCTCGAAAAATTTTGTGCATGTTTCTTGGCGGATTTTATTATTGTTCTTGATAGAGACTGAAGTACTTCAGCAGAAAAACTTAATGTGGTTGCTAGGAGATTGTGGGGATCTTGCTGAGGAGGTGGGGTATGATGGGGAGATTGGGGGGGGTTGTTTTGATGGGTGGATATGTCATGAGGGGAATCAGGGGATGTAGGGTAGTCTGGTGGATATTTCTCAACATTAACCATATCCATTTCTTCCTGGTTTACTGCCTGTAGGACATTACAAATCTGACTTTTCCTTATATTAGCAAATAAGTTAGTGATCACCTCTGTAGTATATACAATATCATCGGCCCATCGAAGAAAACGGGGCCTTTTGTCAGAATACATAGGAGCATGAATAGTAGTATGCTCCAGGAACCAAATCTGCATAAGATGAAAGAAAATTTTAGCACTCACATTGAGCCAATAAAATTTTGAATGAATTTAGCAGTTAGCACTTAGCACTCACAATTAGCAGAGGTACAAAACCGTTGATGTAACCTGCTGGCTTCTTATTTGAAATCTTGGAGGCTGCCTTATTAAACTCTCCAACTAAAAACTCCCTAATTGAACTAGCCCAGTTTATTGACAAAAAAACATCTGGATTATTTGTTATTCTTTGAATCAACCGAGGGGTTTTGAAGTTGTTAAGTTGAAAAAGTAAATTTGAACATAAATACATGATAAACGTTCTTAACATAGTCTCCGGGGGGGTTTGCTTGTTCAACTCCATCATGTCATTCCTTATTTCCGTTGATGTAACTGAAGTATGTGCTAAGGAATGCCAGGATATTTCTTCTCCTTTATTTGGCAGACCAGTAAGAATGGTCACTTCATCAGCAGTGAAAGGAATGAGTTGATCTTTTATAACAAAGCATTGTTTTGAAATGTCCCACCTTGAGATCAGCTCATAAATAAGATGGACATTTTGCTCAAACCCAGGAAATTCCAAAAACTGTATCATCTTTAAATGTTTCAATGTGTCCTTGACTTCAGGAGTAATTTGCTGAGCAAAGTTATCACAGATTGTTCGAAACGAATAAACATAGCATCTATAGGTAATTGGACGAACATATATCTGAAAATTATAAAAAATGATAAATTTAAAATAAGTAAATGAGATACGCACAAAAAACGCACAACATATGCAGAATATAAGCAACGGTCACGAACAGTGTACGCATAACATACGCATATATTACGCACATCACACACACAGTGCAGGAAACATACAGCAAATTATACGCACGCATAAAGTACGCACAATATAAGCACGGAGTAAGCAACGTATACGCATATATTACGCACAAAAGACGCATTGAGTACGCACAGCCTACGCATATTTACTCGATGTTTAAAATTTGATTAGGTTTTATGTTTCAAATTTCAACATAAATTTATCATAAACCCTGAATACAGAGAAAACACGATGGCATCACAGTATCAAACATTTAAAAAGTTTCGAGAAGCCATGCATACGCATAGAATAAGCATAAAATCAGAAGATCTTCAGAGCCTTGAACGCCAACGCATAGCATAACCATAAAATACGAATTACGAAACAGAAAACATAGCATTAAGTTACCTTTTTCTTTGGGGGTGACGACATCTTAGAAGAAACTGAGTGAAGAATGCTTGAAATTCCTCCGGAGTGAATGCTTGAAAGTTCGAAAGTTTACTGTAACTTGAAAATTGAAATGTCGACTGAACCATTCGACCTTTACAAGTTGTTAAATGTTGATGTCACGTCGACATTTCACTAGGCGCGCCACGTCGGCAACTGGGGGTCCGAACTGAAAAAAAAAAATAGGTTAATTTTTAAAAAGGCGACGCCTTAAATATATGAGGCGAGGCGATGGCGCGCCTCAGTAAACTTGAGGCGTAAGCCTCATAAACTAAACTTATTGCGTAGGCTTTGAGGCTTAAATGGACGAAATTGCGCAAAGGCGCGCCTCAAGGCGCGCCTTTTATTGCGCAATTTTAAACGTTGATTTCAATTTGGCTGATGATCCTACTTGGTGATTTTTTGGCTCCCTTATCGAGGCATCCGTATTTGTTCCTTCAAATTCTTCTTATTTAGAGGTTGTTTGGTTGGAAGTAAAGTAGGTGTAACGTATTCTAAATGCAAGGGTTTTGAAAAATATTGGTGTTTGATTGGACGAAAAATGAATGCAAAGTAAAATAAATGTAATGTAAATCATTTTATTTCATTTTTAAGGTAAACTAAACTCATCTAGTTTTGAGCGAAGAGCCGTTTACACCGCAGGCAAGCTCGCTTGACTGCTGCCGCCATCCATCGCCGACACCTACCACCCACCACCGACCTCCACCACCCGCCAGCCACCACCGCAATCAGCCGCCATTGGCCAACAACGTAGCACGTCGCTACCACCTATGATGCACTGACACAGCACTTAGAGAGGCTATGCAGTGTCGGACACGGACACACGTCGGACACGGCATGGACACGTGTCCGACACAGCATTGGAGTGTCGCAATTAAAAAAAATTAAAATTAAAATCGGACACACGTGTCCGGTTATTAAATGAGGTATCGCTAGGTACATGCTCGGTATTGCTCAGTATATGCTCGGTACCGCTCAGTACATGCTCGGTATTGCTCAGTACATGTTCGTACTGCTCAATATATGCTCAGTACGCATGGTACATGATCGGTACTGCTAGGTACATGCTCAGTACCGCTTCAATACTGCTAGGGTACATGCTCGATACCTAGGTATATGTGCTCGGTACCTGCTAGGTACATGTCACGGTACACTCTGTATTTTCCCATACAAACAATTACGAACTTTAAAAATATAGAGAACTTCAAAATTACTCTTACAATAAAATTTTGTTCCGAGAGGCGCTGCCCCGGAACTCCCGCAGGGGCACTGCCCCTTGACCCGCGACCTGACGAGCAGGGTCGACCCTGCCAGGGGGCAGTGCCCCCTTGGACCCCCGGCAGACCGGTATATTGTTGTATTCATGTTGTCTTATTATTGGGATATTTTGATTTCACTTCATATCAATTTAATTTGATGCATTCATATGTGTGATTGGTTTGTTAGCAAAATAAGCTTTACTGTTGGCGATGGTGGATTAGGTGAAGGTTCAAAAGAGCCATCTGTCCATGCTGTGTCTGCGTCCTCTCTTTTTAAAAATTATTATATATTATATTAAAAAAATATTATGCCGTGTCCACACCGCACCCGTGTCCTATATTTTTAAAAATTGTCGTGTCCGTGTTGTGTCGTGTCCGTGTCGCCGTGTCCGTGTCGGTGCATCATAGGCTGCCACCCGCCAAACACCACTAGCGCCGTCGCCGACCACCACGATCTTTGGACTTATACTACATTTATTTTACTTCAAACCAAACAATTACATGCATTTATTTTACATTCATCCAAACAACTCCAAAATATTCTTTTACATTGCATTCCTTTTTTAGCCAACCAAACAACCCTTAGCAGAAGAGAAACATATAGCATTTGCGTGCATCTGGATAATATGCTACTGGGAAGGTCACTTTTGGAAGCTATATGAAGACAAGAGCATCACAATAAGCACCCTTGGTTGTCAGTTAATTAAAAGGAGGCCATGTTTAACAAACTACCAAGCATTCTTGCAAACATTGATGTAGATCCATCTTACACTAGGCTATTGATTACGTGATATAATATCCATCCTAATTAGAAATTTCTGGAATGGCATGTGGAGAGGCAGGTTGAAAAAAATAATTTTTATCTTCTATAATGGGTGAAGGGAGCTGAAAAAACAATTGAAAGTAAATAACAAAAGAAGACAAATAACGGCGACTACATTAATGTAACTTTTGGGCAAGAAAAGTCAACATTTGAACACAAGTCTATAATAAAATTCAGATGTTAGAATGATAATTGCAATTAAGTGCCATAATAATTTATGTAAATTTGAGTTTTTCACAATGCTACGAACCTGTCTGATTCTTTCTCAATCCAAGTCTCCATCCACGGAGAAACTTGATCAGGGGAATATGCAAGGTCATGTGGAAGATTATCAAGGACCTTCATCATTAAGCAATAATAAAGAAAAAAATGGTTAATGGTAGGACAAAATGTGCAAGTTTTAGATATCAACATGAAAATTTGCTGCCCCTATATACAAACACGCTATTATAGTCAATATTATGAATGAGCCATGCTTCAACTTTGACTTCTAGTGGCCACATTTTGGCGTGTTACGCAGGCCTCATCAAACAATGTTAAATAAAAAGAAAATCGTTCTACCAAAATCAATTGCATTATTCGCCTCGCATAATAATTACTAACCATATTTCTGTCCAAGTAAAAATATATATTCCAGGCAATTTTAACCCAAGAGCATAAAACAAATATGGTAGAAACATCCTACTAAAGAAATAATTTGAAATCCATTTGGACCACATCATTTTCCAACCATATAACACTAATAAATAAATAAAAACTGGAAAACTATGAGATGCAACTCTGTAGGTGAGAAGAAACTCAGCGATAAGAATAGTAAGTGAAATGGCATCCACCAAAACCAATGATTTTATAGGTTGGTGTTCGTTGCAAGAATGCTTAATATCATAAACTTAGTTTGTAGAATGTTGTTCGCTCAGAAAAAATGATGCTCGAACCCTCTGCCTTCAAGGTTAGGGTTTCATTTTTCAAGAGGTAGATTAATTTTAATTAACCACATTTCCCTCAATGTTTAGGGCTTATTTAGATCTGGAGTCTCAACTTCCTATGAGTGCAACCTCTCATAATTAATTACCCCTCTCACTCATGGGAGAACACTTTCGATTAAAGATAGATAACCCTGACATAGTTTTAAATTTATGCTTAGTATTCTAAGATTTCTTTGGATTAATGAGAGATATTTGTAGGGGATGAAGGTAGACCTGATCAAGACCTCATGGTTCCATCATCCCAGGAATACTAGCAATCTGAATCTACCAATGTTAACGAACCATAGACCACAACATCTAGGGAATCTAATTAGTAACCCTGGGTTGCCTCCTCTCAGAGATCCCAAGTAAATCAAGGTGACTATATATAGATTTTTTTAATTTCTTATTATTTTTGGGTGTTTAATTAATTCAGTGGGCTCATAGCATGGAAGTTGACCCAAATACGATTTGAGTTTGAGCTTGCAATAATTGGAATGCCATAATTTGACTAATTTGAGGTTTATATCCGTTGGAATACCCGAATTTAATTGGCTTGGAACTTGTTGCTCTATTTAAGAGTTACCCAAACTATGGTCTTACAACCTAGCTCTATATGTAAGACAGTCTAAGGGATTTGTGTTAAAGTATGGCATATATCTATTTGAAAACCAAATTTAATTAAGATGGGGCTTACATCCATTGGAAGGCCAGAATTTGGATGACTTGTTTTGCAGGATCATCTTATACTTTAGTGGGAATAAATTTGATTTTTTTAAGAGAGATTAGATAGTTGTAACTATTTGACTTAGGTTTTAGTTAGCCTGTGCAAGTATTTCTTGCCTTGAATCTAGGACGATTTTTTTTAAATACGGGTTTTATAACCTTACATTTTGTACAAAGCGACCCGTTTGAGAATATCACACTAAAACCCTTAGATTGAGTAGGATCTATCAAGCTTAGATTTGGGTCTATGACCGATAGTTTTGATTGATGTAGTTAACATTTCTCATATTTGCTTTCATTTACTCCATTGTTATGTTTTTTTTTTAATCTTGGGTTTGAATTAGATACTAATCATCCACTTGAGAAAGCTAGAGTGACTATGGATGATAGCTGTGTTGCCATCTGATATAATGTCATCATATACATTATATTTTATAATTTTTATTCGAGATATGTGAATTTTATCAAGCAAAAAGCATAACAACATTTGTTTGATAATGGTGTATATTAAATAGAAATGACACCAAAATAACCTACTATCATAAGTGTCTAATAAGAGTCTCAATAGAAGTTTTAATAAAAAAATTCATCTTCGCATTATGTTGTAGGCTTGGAAAATATCGATGGCTTTCAACCCTTAATGTTAAGGATTTTGAGTGATAATCGCCATACTCAAGAGAAACCAAGAACATATCAGCGACATAACTATGTTGATGTTATAAGCTACATAAAATTCATTTAATTGGTAAGTGGTTTGATATTATTTGTAAATGCAACATGCACTTACGCCTGATATAAATTTGATGTAAACTTTATATTTATATATATATATATATATATATATTAGCAAATCTTTGAAAGAAGTTGATTTCATTGACCTAAGTTATTAATTTCAATGTAACTTTAAATTTGACCGAAATAAGGATATTTTTATGTTCAAAAATATGTTTTAATTTTGCAGTTTGAGGGTCCCTTATTCATCAAAATTTCGACAGTTTCCCAAAGTCACCCCTAAATTGGGGGCGTGTTGGGTAGCTAAAGCCTTTTTGTCTTTCTCAACCCGATCAAACATCAAGGGAACGCAGAGTCTTCATATAGTTATTGTTCTTCCCAACCAGATCAAAGATACATTGGACGTGGAGTCTTCACATAATTTTCAGTCTTCCCAACTAAATCTAAGATCAATGGAACGCGGGATCTTTCATGTTCCTTGTTATTTAAGCATGAGAGAGGAATGTATACCATGTTCGTAGTTTCCGTGCTCGCTTTTTGGAGTTTACTAATTTTTAGAGTGAAAGGGTGGGTAAGAAATTACTTCTCTTTTAGAGGGATGTTGGGCCAGTGAGAGGAGTTCTCAGCCTTGGATAGTCAACGGCTTGGTTCACTGGTGATTGTGGGGCTACCAATATGTTAGGAAACAAGTGCAATTGAGAAAACTTGGGCTGAAATTGGGAATTTTAGCAATCTTTAAGCAAATTTTTTAGATAAATCCCTTGGCAAATCCTAGCGAAACTTGATAATATATGAAAAGTTGAAGAAAACAAACAGGATACGATGAATCTTCAATTCAAGAGGAAGATCCGGCTCTCCAAACCTCTAGTCGGTGGCTTGAGCTTAAAGCACCTAAGAGATAACTCAAAAACAGCAAAACAACCCATAACCTTAACCCTAATCCCCTCCCCCCCACCTAGAGAATACAAATTAAATGCATAATTACTAAACAGCCCTCCTTAATTAATTTCCCTCCAAATTCCTCCCCCTCCTATTTAAAATTGTATTTAATTCAAGAACCACCTTGTCCTCAAGATGGAAGAATGGAAATTGATGCTTCATCCGCACATACAGCTCCCAATTGGCATCGAACTCTGGTAGGTCCTTCCACTTAATCAGCACTTCCTTCCCTCCCGTGTCACACTCCTATCAACTCCAGTGATTCCAAAATCACCTCCAAATCCTCTGTTAGTGTTGTTGGTAACTCTACAGTGGAGGTATGATCCCCTATAGCTCTCCACAACTACGACACGTGCAAAACTGGGTGTATGGCTGTGGTCGGAGGTAGCTTTAGTCGATATGTCACTGCCCCGATCCTCTCTTCTATCACGAAAGGGTCAAAGTAACCTAGTGCCAGCTTCTCATTCCTTCTACTTGCTACTGTCATCTGCCTGTAAGGATGAAACTTCAAATACATCATATCTCCTGCCTCAAACTGAATGTCCTTCCTATACTCATCAGTCTGTCTTTTCATAATATGTTGAGGTCTCAATGAATGTCTTTTCAATTCTTCTAGTAACAGATCCCTCTCTACCAAGTACTACAATGAAAAGACCGATGAGTTACTCTGCCCAAAGTGCACCATGTGAGGCGGATCTCTATCGTGCAACACCTTGAAAGGGGTCATCTAAGATGTCGAATGATGCAAAGTATTATACTAGTACTCTGCCCACGCCAGCCACTTAGCCCACTGCCGAGGTGTCTCTGAAACAAAGCATCGCGTATATGTTTCCAAGCTCCTATTGACCACCTCCGTCTGCCCGTTGGTCTGAGGGTGGTAAGTGATGCTCCTCTTTTGTACAATCTCCTACAGCCTAAACAACTCCCTCCAAAAGTGACTGAGGAACACCTTGTCTCGATCGAATAATATCGATTTTGGTATCATGTGTAATCTGACCACCTCTCTAATGAAAGTTGATGCCACTGTTACTATCGTATAAGGATATGTCGGAGAGGAATGCAATGAACATATTTATTTAGTCTGTCTACCACCACTAAAATAATTATAAACCCCTCTAATCAGGGTAGCCCATCTATGAAATCCATAGAGACCTCTTCCCGCACTCTGCCTGGAAGTGTTTAAAGGTTGTAATAGCCCCCTTGGATCCATAGTCATATACTTATTCCTCTCGAAAACATTGCACCCGGCCACCATCTCCTCTACATCTTTGTGCATTCCCTTCCAATATAGTTCAGCAGTCAATCTCATGTATGTCTTATGTACACCCAAGTGACCCCCAATAGCGCTCCCGTGAAACTCCTGTAGCAAATGCGGAATATGAATTGAGGTTGGTGGCAGTACAAACCTCCCCTGGTATAGCAGTCTCTCCCCATCTACTGAATAGCCCGGATGGCTATACTAATTTTTCAGCATATCCTCTCTGATCTTCCTCAGTTCCTTGTCCTGCGCACTTTCTTCCTTAATAGCCCCCAAATCCAACATCAGCGATATCGAAATGGCCATCTCCTGGAGCTCCCCCACGCATCTGGACAAGGCATATGTCGCCTTGTTTTCCAGCCCTAGCCTGTACTGGGTTTCAAAATCATATCCCAACAACATGGACAGCCACCTCTGATGCTCCTTGATCACCATCATCTGCTCTAGTAAGTACTTCAAGCTCCTCTGGTCGATCTTGATGACGAAATATCGTCCCAGCAAGTACGACAGCTACTTCTGAAAAGCTAATACAATGGCCATCAGCTCCCTCTCATAGACTGACTTCAACCTGGCTCTAGTTGTCAACACTTGGTTGAAGTAGGCTATGGGTCTGTGATTTTGCATGAGCACTGCTCCCAACCCATATCCTGAGGCATTTGTCTCTACCACGAATATCTGGTTGAAATCGAGTAATGCCAGGATCGAAATTGTGGTCATAG